TCCCCAGCTGCTGACCCTGATCGCTCACCCCACCCCATTCGGGGCGGGACCAGATGCCCACAGCCCCTCCCCATGGCCGACCCCACCCCCAATAAACCCCTTCACCCCAATCAGTGGTGGGGCCCGCTGGCCAATCACCCACAGCACCTCCCCCCAGCCTGCCCGGCCCTGATCGGGCTCTGATGGGTGTGGGCTGGCCAGCCACCTCCCGCCATCTCCTCCTCCTAACAGGCCCGGCCCCAATCCGCCCCAATTGGGGCTGGGCTGGCCAGAGCCCACCTGTGCACGAATTCGTGCACTGGGCCTCTAGTTAATAAATAATAATACAAGCATAAACTGTTTCACATACTCACTGTAAACCTACTTTTGTCTCACTGTATATGGACCTTAATAGCATTGCTGCCCCTATGATTTCTATTTAGGAGGTGAGGAATCCTATTAGAGGGTGAAAGGTACTTTATTAAAACTTCTAAAATATTTGTGAAGTTTTGAAAATTCATGTGAAAAATGATTTTACATTCAAAATCTATTTAATCTAATTCTTTTAATAAAACTAGCTGAGGTTCAGGTGTTCAGTAAAATGTAAGGAATAGTGAATAGGAAAGGAAATAATGACCACTGTTACCAAAAGGAAATATTTTTAAGTAGTTTACTTTTTTTCATTAACATATTAATTTGGGGGGAAAGATGAAAGGAAAAAAAGTTGATAGAATTTGGTAATTAGAAATATTTGCCAGTCATGTTTGATCACATATCTTTGAAAAATAGTTTGGGTTTTTTAAGGTTGATTTATATCTAATGTTTTATACAGCTTGAGCTATGCCATGTTATAAAAGTAGAAAGAATTACAAACTAATTAAATGACATTTCTTTTTTCTTCAAGTACAAAGAGCTACTAAGAGATTATTCAACTGGAAATTTCTCAAACCACACATTCATATATCAATGCTTTGGAGAATTAACTTTCTTTTTTTAAAAAAAAAATATATTTTTATTGATTTCAGAGAGGAAGGGAGAAGGTGAGAGAGATGGAAACATCAATGATGAGAGAGAATCATTGATTGGCTGCCTCCCGCACGACCCCACTGGGGATTGAGCCCACAACTGGGCATGTGCCCTTGACCAGACTCGAACCTGGGACCCTTCAGTCTATAGGCCAATGCTCTATCCACTGAGCCAAACTGGCCAGGGCTAGCTTTAATTTTTATTATACTGGAAATACACATTAACACTGTAGTTCCTAGAATTTTGCTTTTCATAGGTTGCTCATTTTTATTTGCTAAATAAGTATATATTCCATTACCAACACCAACACCCCTCTGCTCCTTCTATTCCCCACTAACACTAGCATTATTTAGTCATTATGAAAGATCCACATGTTAGTCTGTTGTTTTTTTTCCCAGATATTTAAAAATTACATAAGGTGGGACACCTATTTTAACAGAATAAATTTTGTTTCATGAAAAAATCGCTCCCCTATCCTTGTTCCCATATTTCCATTGTGGAGGTGGATTAACACACCTCAAATTGATAAAGAGGGATCTGGCTGTTGTGGCTTAGTTGGTTGGCTATCATCCTATGCACCAAAGGTTGCTGGTTCAATTCATGGTTAACGGCACATGCCCAAGTTGTAGCTGTGATCCCTGGCAGGGGGCATGCAGGAGGCAGCAAATTGATGTTATGCTCTCACATCAATGTTTCTCTTCCTCTCCAAATATCAATAAACTATACTTTAAAAAAAAAATTGATAAAGAGCATTGTTGGTGAAACCAACAGAAGGCATTCTCACATGGGTTCAATTGGAACACGCATTACCCAAAGGTAGTCGCTTTAGTGTGCTTAATAAACAGAAAATATTTGGATATTCTTTAGGTAAGAATGACTAATAGAGTAAATAGCAGTAGTAAAATTAAGTGTTGAAATAATTTGAGGCCATTATTCAGTCTTCTGATCTAGTCATCAAGCTTTTATTAAATCCCTAATACATGTGAGTAGTCATACTTTTTGCTAGGCCAATAGCAAAATATAGTCCCTTATTAGGGATGATAGTATCTACCTAACTAGTATATATTGAGATACTTAATTTTTCTAATGACATTGTTTTTTTTAAACCGTGAGCGAAATATAATGGATCATTATTTTTAAAAGTCGGAGACTAAATAAATAAAAATTACCCATAATTGTCCAATACAAAGATAATATTTAACATTTTTGCTTACATTTTCCCCTTTGTTTCACTACATAAATATACTTCAAAAAAGTAAAATACGCCCGGCTGGTGTTGCACAGTGATTGAGTGTTGACCCATGCACCAGGAGGTTGCAGGTTTGATTCCCAGTCAGGGCACATGCCCAGGTTTCAGGCTTGAACCAAGAAAGGGGCGGGCAGGGCAGCAATTGATGTTTTGATGTTTCTATGTTTCTATCTCTCACTCTCAAATCAGTAAAAACATATTTTTAAAATCCTATATAATCAAGATGTAATATGCAAATTGACCATCACATCCTCACACAAGATGGCCGCCCCCATGTGGTTATAAGATGGCCACCCCCATGTTATCACAAGATGGCCACCACAAGATGGCCCGCAGGCGAGGGCAGTTGTGGGTGATCAGGCCAGCAGGGAGGGAGGGCAATTGGTGACCAGGCCTGCAGGGGAGGGCAGTTAGGGGTGACCCGGCTGGCAGGGGAGGGCAGTTGGAGGAGATTGGGCTGGCAGGGGAGCAGTTAGGTGTCAATCAGGCTGGCAGGGGAGTGGTTAGGGGGTGGTCAGGCTGGCAGGCAGAAGCAGTTAGGGGCAACCAGGCAGGCAGGCAGGCAAGCGGTTGGGAGCCAGCAGTCCTGGATTGTGAGAGGGATCCCAGA